ATATATCCCTTGCTGCTCACCTTCAAATCCATACTCTTTGTTCACTAATTGTGTACCAATATATGCATATATACATGTATTCCTAAATATAAGCTCAGCCCATACAATGTTACTTGTACGTATTTGGTACCAGTTGCTTGCTCTTCCCTGGGAGAAGACACCTCCCCTGCTCCCCGCTTTCCTCAGTTGCCTAGAGCTCTTTGTGTAGACTTGAGGTATTATGTGCTTTTCCCCATCAACTTTGGCATGTCCACTGGTATCATCCTTGTTCAGTTCATGTTTGGGAAGTCATGTTGGTGAGACTTCATGGGTGTAGCTTGTGATATTGCTAGGAGACACAATCTCATAGCAAACTCCCCGATCCTCTGGCTCTTACAACCATACACTCCCCTTTCCACAGTGAGTGTTTTCTAAGTGTTAGGTCTGGGAGTGTTTTGGAGATTTTTTCCATTGGGCCTGAGCTCCATAACTCTGTATTTTAATTGGCTGTGCTTTTCTCTGTATATAAGGACAAATGTTCATAATTTGTTGTTAGGGATGATGATTGAAAAGTTTTTGCACCCTGATAAGCTTCTCCGCAGACACAGCAATCCAAATCAGACCAAATCAAACCAAATTAGCCACCAGCCCAGGCCGGAGCTGAATTGGAATTCAGCTCTTGGAATTAGAACCCAAACCTACCACCTGAGTTCGGGAGAAAAATTAGAGCTCCCTGCTCCAATTTACCCCATCTTAGCTTCCATGTAAAGAGGGAAAATACACAGAATCTGGATACTGTATGTTATTGTGTTGTCTTTGAATTGCTTGACTGCTGAGGAAGAAGCAACAGCTGCTAAAAATCCTACAGGTCAGGCAGTTATAGAAAGATCAAATAGAACTATAAAAGATATGTTAAATAAACATAAAGAGATGAAAATATCCCCAGAAATGGAATGCATAATGCTTTATTAACTTTGAATTTTCCAAATGCTAATGAGAAAGGAACATCAGCTGCAGAGAGACATTGGATAGTAGAAAAAAATATGGGATTAAATCAGCCAATATACTTTAAAGATGTACTGACCTCAGAAGGGAAACCAGGGCATGGTCACGTTAGGTAAGGGGTTTTGTTTTTGTTTCCACAGGAAGTGAGAAGCTGTGGATTCATTTTGGGTTAAGAAAAAGAAGGTTTGATCTAGGAAGACCCTGTTTTAGAGCCCCTCTGTTGCGGTGTCCTGTCCTCTGAGTTCTACTCCCAGCACAGTTTTAAGACTGCTGGCTAAGATGACCTGGCCTCACAGAATACTCCAGTCAGGACTTGACCATAATCCTAAATTTTCTTTTTGTGCCCATAAGATTATCAGTGCCCTCAATCATCAGGAAGTTGCTTAGAAACGGTTGTCCACATTTCCCAAGAATGGATTATGGGGATTATGTTTATCTTTGTTTAGAGTCTTGGTTACAAGTTGTTATGAATAATGGTCAGGAAAAAAGCTAAACAAAGGAAATTTGATTTAAGGTTCTTGTTTTGAAAAGATAAAAGGGGGATATAGATATGATAGGGTAAAAGTGTAGATTATTGAATCTACTCAGAAAAAACCAGAGGATATAGATGTGATAAGATAAAAAGGTAGATTATTGAATCTACTTTTAAAAAGATTAGTTTTAAATGCTTTACATTGGATCAAACTTTTGTGTATTGTATACAAACTTTGTATGTTGATACAAATTTGAGAATAATTTTGTTAAAACATA